TACGCAAAATGTGGTTTAGCTGCTATATTTGAATTTAGTCCGAAATATCTTTAAAATAACGCGATTGTGTCAAAAGGTATTCAGATTATTCAATTTAAGAAAAATATGTTATATGAAAATATATTTGATGCTATAATGAAAAATGCTTTAAAAATCCACTCTGTCCCGGACGCTTTGAGATGGGACTCGAACCCATAACCTTCCGCGATAACAAATTTTGATCTTCTTTATCAAAAGATGAAAATTTGTTATTGCTGTTTGGGTGTGTTGCCTGAACATCGATGAAATACGCTCGGTAGAAACGGAATAGTAACAAGTGCTCGACTTCGTCCTCTGGGACTTAAGATACCACGTAACCGGATCAAGCGAGAGGTTTTGCACGGTAGGCTCACTGCACTGGACCGCCGTCCCTTGCAGTGAGAGAGCCCGGGTTCAGTCGGACTCTCGCCCAGGTCGATGGCATGTTAAGGTCAGTTCCCCTAGGTATAAAAAAAAAAGTCCTGTTAGGTCCTGCGTAGCTCAATGGTTAGAGCAGTCGCTCGGATTGCGAAAGGTCATGGGTTCGATCACATCTCAGAGTGCCAGAGACAAAGAGGATTATTAAGCATTTTTTTATTAAGTATATTATATATCAATCTATTTTAAACTGCTGAAGCATAGAAAAGTTAACAACCTCCCCATCTGAGATAGAACCGGGAATCAAAATGAAGTCTTGAAAGAAAGCGGCTGAGTACATTAACGCGTAGGTAGTTCCACCACGGAGGTCGTCAAAACATGTTATATTTATTAACAATACCTTACTATGAACTTACGGACTTAACCTAGTTTGAAAATTATATACACGCAAAAATAGCCTCGCTAGTGAACAGGGAGGCAGTCACGCGACACTTTCTAGGCTGTAATAGCTTATTTGATTGTGCTCCGCGAAAGGTTTAATGTATTTACGGAGCCCTCTTAGACGTGGTGTGGGCCGTAAACTACAGATAAACAGGTTAAATAGCATAAATAAAAGGTATAGTTGAAATAAAATCTAATAACTGAAAGGGGCATATAACATTGTGATATTTCGTTGTCTGATGCAGTTCAGCTCAGACTTCATTACACGACATGACAAGGTTTTACAAATTGATATAATGTTAGCTTTGGGATGGTTCTGCCAAATACCAGCTTGAAGCGTTGGAGACCATCGAGAGGCGCGCCAAGAGACTCATTGGAAGCGACGCTCTTTGGAAAAAAAAAGTACTAAGTCTTGAGCATCGCCGCAAAGTCGCTGGTCTATCGGTCTTCTATCGGTTACATTTCGGCGAGTGTGCATCGGAATTACACGACTTAATTCTATCATCCCCTTTTTATTATCGTACATCCAGGGATACTGGGAAGCGTCACCGCTTTACTGTGGAGATTCCACAAACTCGCACCAAACGATTCGCCTCTACATTCATAGTGCGAACTGCGAAGCTGTGGAATTCGCTACCGGACTCGCTGTTTCCGGGCAAATACAATCTGGGACTCTTCAAGTCAAGAGTGAATCGGTTCCTTCTAGGCAAGCACGCTCCATCTTAGACCACTGCATTGCTTACCATCAGGTGATCTGTGGTCAAGTGCTTGCCTATCTAGAATAAAAAAAAATGTATACATGGTGTACAAAATATGAGTGGTTCAAATAATAGGTTTCCACAGTTCGGCTACGATGAAATATCTCCTACAGCTGTCAACAATTGGGTGTAGATAGATCGCATCTAGATGTATGGAACCGTAAACATGACGTTCCTTCTTTGTTAAAGTGTAGAGAAAAACCAAGAAAAGATAATATAATAAAATGGCTTTCGAACGGTTATATTATGTGTGTGTCTGTAAATTGTTATCTTTTCAGAGCATTTGGATCCTTTGCAGATTCTAAGTTCTCTAATATTGAAAATATAAGGCCGGGACCTTTCCAACACTGTATTAATGTAGTTAACAATCACAGCATAGGTTTTTAATTCTTGTGAACATTTATATAGTAATAGTAACGATATTTGTAACTATTAGTCTTAATTGTTTTTTACATTTCAAACAGGCAGGCAGGAATCTGTTTACCAGTATTGCTGTAGACATTATAATGGTCGTCTTTTAGTAAATATAAACTATAATGGAAATATTTCTAATGGGTACCTCGAACGTCTTTTACAAATTAAACTTAAAATGATTTCAAATCCACGAATTGTGATGATTCAACAGTTCAAATAATGAAAATGTAAACTACGAGAGAACAAACTAATGAGCCTTCGGAGAAAACCGTTTCATTACCATAACAATGTACTACTCTTTGACAAAGCAAATCGATTTTGTGTATTCGTAACAAGAACATTCAATACAAGCATAGAATGAAATATTTACTTAACTGTAGAAAATGTGGGATAGGTACTTTTAGTTCTTAACTAGATAAATTTTTAGCATGTTCGGCAAATAATATTTTATTTATATACGCAAATATTTAATTTTTATAGTAGCTTATGATTCTTTTTGTATAATTTTTATTTAAATAATAGTAAAATATTATTATGTTATTAGTAGAACATCACAATAATGTAATATAATAGGGTTTAAATATACAATAGGGTTTAAGTATACCCATAACAGTAGAATCTTAAATATTAATATAATTTTTGACGAATCTTGCATATGTTTCTCAATATGTATAGTACATTATTGGAGATGCTTTTGTTGCCCTTAAAATAAAATAAAAGTACTCCTAGAAAAGTCAGTGTAACACAACTTTCCGCTTATGTAGGTGCTATTAACATAGTTATCAACACGTACCTGTAACTGGGGCAAGGCCATTCCGTGTCAGTTAGCGGTGAACTAGTATTTTTTTATATTTATGTATGTACGGTACGTGCTTTGGAGAAATACTTGAAGCTGCCGCGTAAGTAGCTCATTAGGAGTCAAGGTTTCGGACGTATAAAAGATTTTACTAGCGCTTAAAGGTTCGAATCATAATTATTCTCTATGTTCTTTGTGTTAATTTAGATTTTTTGTTATTATCAAACTTTTGCTTTTCAATTTTTTTTAATTACTTCGTCGGGATCGTTTTGTTGGGTTCGTATTTATTTAAAAGATATCGAAGCACCCCGACATCTACATAAACAGATTTTAGACTTCTCTATATAAATATTCAACAACTCGTCCTCAATTTTTTATTCACTTTATAACCATGTACAAAGGGCCGGTTAGTCAGTACGCTGCTCACTTCTCCGGTTCATTCAAATTCAGTCCGGTAGACAGCTACTTACCCCATAATTTTCCGCCTTTTTCTCAATATTTAACGACTTTTTATAGCTCTCTTCACGATAATATATAACAATACACACACCGATTTTTAATTTAAACTATTATAGAATTCATTTCAAAAAGCATTTAAAGTGATAAATTGATTATAAAAATTACCCATATTATAGTTTGCTTGGTTCATGGTGTAGTTTAGATTGTAAAGAAAAAAGTTCGATCGACGATTTCCATTTTATTGTAAACCACAGTACAATCGACCCAAAGATTTTTATAATAGAGCAACGGATGGAATAGCACGAGTTCGAATGATGTATCGGGTTTTTCTTTTTGTTGTTTTTAGTTTTTCATTTGTATACTCTTTTTCAAAAGTTCAATAAATTATGCCCTACAAAAAAACTACGTCGTTTTCTTTGTAATTCAGACTTATATTTACTGCGAGACCCGCGTCGTCTACAGACACTTTCATTTATTTTGATAGATCTTACACAGTGAAACACCTATTTAGATTGTAAATGTATAGGTAATATTGATATTACCTATGAATAGAAAAAGAATAGAATAGAATAGAATTAATTTATTTTGACAACACACATCACGTACACAATATACAACTTAAAAATAAAAATAGTAATAATACTAATAATAAAATAAAATAAACATGAAAAAAGAACAGAAAATAAACAATACAGTACTCTGTGCCATGGTTGTCAAAACTGGCCTCAGCTCAGTACAAGCAGTAAGCAGAGCCTACTGCACTGATATTCTGCTGCAGCCAGCGGTGACACCACGTACAAACCAAACACAAAAATGGAGTTACAAAATACAAATAAAGAAAAGAAAAAGGGAAGCATATATAAAATCTATCAAAGTAAGTAAATGATATTAAACAAAAAAATTGAATACATTACTTACTTATAAAATTACATTTGTTTAAAAGATATAGCTTTATATCTTAAGTAAATCTTCAAATACCATTAACGAATAAAGACATAATCATTTGAGTAGCTGGATATCAACAAACATACATAAATATTATAAAATTTCAGACCCTTTTAGAAAATATCACCAACGGTAGTCAACCAGCATCGTTCAAAATGTATCTAAAACATTTAGCTGTATAAAAACCTAGAATAAGAACAAATTACTTGTAGGATGAGACATCGCTCTCCTTAGGCTCCGAGGGGAAAAAATCAAGGAAAACCCCTCGTAATGACGACGCTTTCGCCGGGAACAAATTGGATTTCGGCCAAACAAGCCGTTACAATTACTCATTCACCGTAGTGTTTTTAATGGGAACATCCAAAGTGGAATCGTTTAAAGCGTACATTTATTTCTTTTATAACTTTTAAAATAGAATATATTTGTCGCTATTTTATACTTGTGCTTTGTTCAAAAGGACTATGAATCGTCTTTGGATATCGAAGAAGTAATCTTTCGGGACTGAGGAACCATGTCAACTAACAGAAACAAAGATCGACTCAAAATCCTTTTGAAACTGTTCACACTCCCTCCGACTAGTCATCCGTTTTCAAAGAAATGATACTAATGATCATTTCTGTTTGTTGTCAGGTTCCGAAGTTCCGAACGGGGTTGCGCCGCGGGACGACGCTTAGCAAATGAACAGTGAAAGCGGATCCCACCAGGAGTATACTACCACACTACCCATGAACATGCATACGAGTCCCCACAAAAGATAGGTATTTCTAAAGTGCAGTGATAAAAAAGTCAAGATGGCGGAAGGACCTCAAACAATATGGCAGAAGATCGACGGTACCGTCATTCCGGTGGTGAACCTTGAGGTTCGGGAGGTCCGTGAAGTTCTATGGGAGAAGATCCAGGAGCCCAGATCACAACGGAAAATCATCTTAGTCATAGTATCTATAGCTTTGCTTCTGGATAATATGTTGTACATGGTAATTGTGCCGATCATCCCAGACTATTTAAGGTACATAGGGGCGTGGGGAGAAGAGGCCTACGATCATGTCGTTACCTTACCTCCCATTAAAGAGGGCAATAGAACTATAATCCCGACGAAAATAATTCCCGCATCTCATGAAGGCCAGGAGTCAGCTACGGGAGTACTATTTGCATCGAAAGCTATTGTGCAACTTTTGATCAACCCATTTTCTGGTGCCTTAATCGATCGTATTGGGTATGACATACCTATGATGATTGGACTTGTCATAATGTTTCTTTCAACTTCAGTATTTGCATGTGGCCGAAGCTACAGTATGCTGTTCTTCGCAAGAAGTCTACAAGGGGTAGGTTCTGCCTTCGCCGATACCTCAGGTTTGGCTATGATAGCTGACAGATTCACTGAGGAGGCCGAAAGATCTAAGGCACTTGGTATTGCTCTTGCATTTATTAGTTTCGGATGTCTCGTAGCGCCGCCTTTTGGAGGTGCTCTGTACCAATTCGCTGGCAAAGAAGTTCCATTTTTAATTCTAGCTTTGATATCCTTAATAGACGGTTTCATGTTACTCCTCGTTATGAAACCCTTAAAGACTCAACTGTACGAATACAATCAACCGAAACCAGTCGGAACACCGATTTGGAAATTACTTATGGATCCCTACATCGCGGTATGTGCTGGAGCTTTGATGATGTCAAATGTTGCGTTAGCTTTTCTCGAACCAACAATATCATTGTGGATGGAAGATAATTTGACCAAAGATAATTGGAAAATTGGAATGATATGGCTCCCAGCGTTCTTTCCACATGTTCTCGGTGTGATAATAACGGTGAAAATGGCTAAAAAATATCCTCAGCACCAATGGTTAATGGCAGCCGGTGGACTAGCTTTGGAGGGTCTGTGCTGTTTTATTATACCATTTGCGAATTCTTACAAAATGCTGATGATTCCAATTTGTGGAATATGTTTTGGTATTGCTTTGATTGACACAGCACTATTACCGACACTGGGTTATCTGGTCGATGTACGATACGTCTCAGTGTACGGCAGCATATACGCTATTGCTGATATATCATATTCGTTTGCATATGCCGTAGGACCTATTATAGCAGGAGAAGTAGTAGAGGCAATCGGCTTTACAGCTTTGAATCTTCTAATCGCCTTCAGTAACTTACTTTACGCTCCTGTGCTAATGTATTTGAGGCACATTTACGACTTTAAGCCTTTTGAAAACGAAGCTAATATTCTGATGGGTGACCCCCCCGACAAGGAATATCAGACTTACAGCATGCAAGACCAGAAACCTGTGAACGGTGAATTTAAAAACCACCTGGAATATTCTAACGTTTCTGGACAAGTGGGGGTTGAAGAGTCAAATGTTGACGCTAATGCGGGATACTCTTACGACCAGTCGTATCAAGGAGGGTATCAAAACTATGGGCAGGGGTATGAGCAACAACAGCAGAGTTATCAGCAAGAGTATCAGCAACAGCAAGGGTACAGTCAGCCGCGGCAGCTGCCTGCGCAGCCGCAACCACCCGCGAGTAATCCTTTCAGAGCGGCGGTAGCACCAGCTGCTGCACCCACCAACCCCGCTCCTACACCCGCACCCCCCGGCCCTGCTATCAAGAATCCGTTTCGGCAAGGTTTCTAGATCACTCCTATTTCGGTGTTGTTGTCTATATTTTTGAATTTACTTGTTGTGTAATTATAAATATCTTAAATTTGGATAATACTTCGATCACTGAGCTGCATTACATCTGCAGCGAGTTATTTAGTGTCTGATAGATGTCTAATACCTAGCTGTGCTTGTAATTACGATATTTGTAGAATATCTCTATGGTTGTTCTTAAAATGGCGTCGCTAGAAATACAGTTGAACCAATAACATCGGAATACGAACGCCATTTAAGAAAAGCCATGCTGTTTTTTCTTGTTGATATTGTATTGTTCAGATGTAACTTAATACAACTGTTGACTATGCCTTCTTAAATTTATAATATAACTTTCCGGAACATGCTTAGAACCAACGCGTCACACGACCAAAGAATAATCGGAAAGTAATTAGGATAAATAATTAATGATATTCACAGTATGAAAATCAGTGGTAAGGTATGAGAGCAAAAGTGTTACAATACTGTAAAATCTCTAAATAAGATACCTAATTTGTATTAATGTATCATTGTCATTGGAAGTAATCATACTGTTTTGCTTTCCAACAAAGCAGTTATTACTTTTGTGAGAAAATGTACAGCGTTGGTTAAAGAAGCATTCATAGATCTTGTCTATTTAACGAAGTTATATTCAGTTTGTTTCTCCTTATTTACTTACCACAAGGCTCACAGCCACCTTATATTATATGTCTTCCTTGGCCCACGAAGCGGTAGATAACATCAAACTATCGCTGAAGACGTCATCTCTCCACGCTCCCCTTTCCCTTCTCATACTCATAATAACTATTTACGTGAATTGCAAAACAGTAATATTTAGTATTTCTAAAATAAAGTATTGGTTGAAGACTTGTATAATATTTGCTGATAAAAACAAAACGACAATTCTCAATTAATTAACACCTATTCATACAACCATTAATATGTTGCAAATATAAACGCACAGTGTATACTGGTGGAAAAGGCGGTGACAGTTTGATTGTAATCTATGGATTAATGGGCCGAGGATTACATACCGTTCTACATAGTGGTGAATGAAACAGAGAAATTATACTGAATATTCCTAATTCACATTAAATAAATAAGATCTGTCTGCTCCTGTAATGATGCTCCTTCAACCAAAGCTGTATGTTTAAGTGTAGGCAGTAAGATAGAATTATTATTATTAATTAAGAATATAATATTCGTGCACATCAGTCACGAGAACTGCTATGGAGGCACAAAAATTATCTACTAAGCCTAAAAACAAGATATTAAGTGATCTTTTGGCAATTATATAATTTTGAAATTTATGATTTGTTAATTATTATAATTAAAAAGTATTATGCATGTTATGTATATGCATTGCATAAAAATTTAACAATCGTCATTAATTAACGTAACGCATGTTACATAGCGTCATGTACATAATTATATAATTGGTGTACTAAACTCTATTTTGATTATGACAGCCTGTGGGTGTACCTGTGAATATGTTTGTATACTAAGGCGTCATTATTTACGCTATATTTTTAGATTATTAATTTTAGTTGGGAATAGTAAATCCTTCCCCTGCTATTTCAGCAATATTAATCTAAGTCATTAAAACTATGTCGCTTTTGAATCGTCGTTCGACGTAATTATATCAATTATAATATCAATTAGTAATAGGTAAGATAACCAACTTGTGATAAAGTTGCAACCAAGGTAACGAAACATATCAGAATCTTTTGATTCACTTAGGCTAAGTGTATAGTTAAAGGTACATTTTTGTCCAGTTGTACAGAATCGTATTGTAGTTTTACCAAAAACGTAACCGCTGTTACGGTTAGCTGTTATAAACAATCGGATATGCACTACAGCGGGGTCGTTTGGTAGAGTTAAACAAAGAATGTCAAAATTGTCATTGAAGTATCATTAAAAATGAAATTTAAAAAAGGTATTTGAAACTAGAGCGTGGACGTTGTAGCAGAAAAGAAAAGATTTAAAGAACCAAAAGATAATTTAATTCAAGTCTTTTCAATAACCACAAAGCAACAACATAACTTTGAATTAAATAAAATCCACAATTCTACTAAACGGCTTCCGTGAATAATTTGTTTGCAGATGAAAAATTTTAAGACGACATTTAACAGAAATAAAAATAAATACTAATAATATCTAAATAATTGTACAAGAAAAAGTGACGTGCCCGAAATGTCAATTGAGAGTGTATAAAGATAAAAAAAAGAGATTAATGTGAATAATATTCGTAATGGTATAGCTATATGTTGAGAGTGCTTCGGTCCGGTTGTGTTGCCGTCGCACCCGACGAATCGTTCACTAAATTATACAAAATGCATAATGTACCGACAAAACGATTCTAATAATAGCCTGCAAAAGTACAATAGTGATTGTAGATTTTATCATCCACTGCACAAACAACCTGAGAGCACAAAATATATTAATTATATAATTTGTCACCCAATATTTTATAAATGGATACGTCGATACTGTTTACTTAATGAAATGCCGCTGTTATCATTATTCAGAGTATCGATACATTAGTATCATTTTTAAAGAGATACTGATGTAGAAGAGAACCAAAATAATTAAATGATCAGTATACGTATCTATGTTGTAAAATAATTTTGTTCTGAAATAATATCTTAGGAAGGTAAATGATTCCTAATATTTAATGCATCCTAAAATGAAATTGTAATCAAGCGATCTCTCTTAAATTATAATTGTAAGTTAGAGTCAATTTTCGTGTCAAATTCTCCCGAAATTCAATTAATTAGTAGTCAGCACAGAGCTATCTATTATTATATAATAAAGTTTATATTTAAGTAGCAATCGCTTCGTGTATTTTGAGTGAGTTGGTTTTAGAGTGAATGTATGTAATATTTTCTATACATGTTTATCAAAACTACTCTGATTTCACTTATATAATATAATAGTTGATTCAATACTCACATTTAATTTTCTATTAGCAGTTTCATTGTTTATGTAATGAAGTATATTAATTTATAAGTTATTATATAATAAGAAATGTATCGCTTTAAAATACACGAAAGCCATAGAAATTATGTTGTGAAGTAACAAGAACTTAATCAATTGATGTGAGTGCGATTATATAACTTATTATTATAATATGATGTAATTTTATCAGCAATAATGCAACCGATATCACAAACATATCATTAGATTTAAGGATATACAATTTTGCGATATATATTTATGTCTATATATTAATACGTGTTTTAGTATTGTATGATAGATTATGTTGTGGTTTTGCATTAGTTTATAATGTGAATAGTATTTTTTATAATAACTTGTACTTTACTTACTTTGAGGTACTGATTTACTGGGTTCATAAGAACTATTTATCAATTATAAATCATATCAATGTGATAACAAATGTAATGTAATTATGTCATTATATATAATTTGACAATGACTCTTTTGTGTCATTATGTCGATTATAATAGTTAAAAGTATAATTTGGTTACGAAAATAAAATGAAAAGTTTTGAGTTTATTCACATAATTGCAAATTGATAAGACGCCATTTTTAATTTCAAACTCGGTAAAGATTTTCCTTCGAAGACGTTAACGTAAATTTACACTAAAGTGTGCTTCGAAATTCAAATCTGACTTTCATAAATGTCTAGTTTCATAAAAGTGCTGTTGAATAAATACATATTATCACAGCATTTAGTTAGTTTTCGGTCTTTGAACTTTAATGTGTAGTGTGTAAACTACTTTTTCGGTTTTCATGTGTGATTGCGTAAAAATATATTTTCATGATTCGCCTATGATATATTCGCTTATACTGATAGGCTTTCTTATTATTATTAACTATATAATCATCTATTTTAATAGAAATATAACTGCAAACATTATGATTACAATTCTAAATAATTTATTAAAAAATGTATCTATCGGTTTAGTTTTTTTTTACGAGGAACTTCTACGGCCCTGTCGGAATATAACACCACAAATTTACGGAAATATTTTCAATTCCTACCATCAACGAATGACATATATAAAATATTTATTAATTTATCAGGTGCACCGGAGTTTGTATACATCAACACAACATTTTCCTTATATTTAAAATACCTAATTAAATATAATAAACAATCACTTCATGCACTAACAAAATGTATTACAATTCAACATAATATTAGTGAGTTGCCTTGCAGACAGACAACATTATCGTTTACACATAAAGTTTTTATATGGCTTACTGTTTTTCAAACCTTTGTGAATTTATCATTGTGGATATCCACCAAGTGACCAAAATGTGTACATAACCTTGGTACAGGGGATTCAGCACTCAAAACAGACCTGCGGAAGTATTTTTTTTATTAATCTCATAAAAATATACAATTCGAAATGCTCTTAATTTTATCGATAACGTGTATTTTAGTTTAACCCTAATAATCGTACTACAACCCTAATATCATATCATAATAAGATATAATATAGAAAGTACTAACTGAACTGATGTACACCATCTGGACACGAACAGCCACTGGCGCACCGTCCACAATTAGTCTGGACTTCACTCAGTAGTTCTTGTATATAGTTGCAGAAATTTTATTCAAATATATTATAATTTTAAGCGGATGATAATATTTTTCAAAGCGATGCAACGAAAAGACAAAAGAAAAAAAACACGTATTTTTTTTTTAATGTAGTAATGGCTGTATGCGGCCAACGGTAAGGTTACGGGTGTAATGCAACCTCCTTTAAAGTTCATAGCTTTCGTAGTGGCGACGCAGGACAGCAGACCCCCGAAGGTACACCAGATATTCCTTTCGTGGTGCAATCATAGGGAAATTGAAAGATAATTTAGAAAAGATTTAAGTAAGGAAAGAAAGAAAGCAATAAAATGGAAATCGATTTACGTGTTAGATAATTCCTCAATGCAGCTGGTTAATAAGTAATTTAGTTGAGTAGGTGCAAAGGTACACACAATTTTAAATCGTAAGGAATGACAACAGCCTACTTATATAGTTT